ACCATCCATGGGCACTGAAAAACAGAACAGCAGCAAAAAGTGAGGACCAGCCTTTCCAGTGATTTTAGTTACTTTCATGGCATTGCAGCACCAGAGCTTTAGGAGACAAGTCATCAAATGTTTAGGAGGTGTCTCATCACATGTTATAAAAAGACTTATTTTCAGTAAATGTTGTTGTTCTTTCTCTTTGCTTTTGGGGGCTTGAATCTCCCGGTCTGATGTTTTCTGTTCAGGTTTTCTCTGTAACAGTGCCCAGTAAAATCTCAGGGAGAAAATGAGCAAGGACTGGGCAGGAAGTTTTCACACATGCATATGTGGCAGTAGGAGTTGTGCTCTAGAAAAATCAAATGTCACAGGCACTGGAAACTCAACATAGAGTCAGGAGGGAGGACTGCCCTGTTAGATGCTACAAACAGTGGATATGTTTCCAAAAATAAATGGGGGAGAGTGTTTTTAATATATAAACAGATGAGACTGCTTTGTTGCTACTTTTCCTTGGTTAGTCTGTGCATTCACAGATTTTTTCTGTAGTTTTATATCGTGGCATTTGTAGATTACTAAATCACTTAGGGGCAGATTTTTTGAAGGTGTGTGGATGTTTGTATTCTGTCTGTGAGCATCCAGATCCCTTTTAAAAAGTGAAAAAAAAATCCCTTAGGCCAAGCTTTTTGTTTCCTTCAGTATTCACAAAAGATTATCTTTGTTCTTCTAAGTTAGTGGCTTTTTAAAATGTGTTATATCTCTCCTGTGTCAGGCCTGAGAATAACCGCCAGCCAGGCGCTTTTTCTAATCTGTAAATATCTCCCCCATTTCCTCTAGCCAAGGACGGCCGTGTCACCAGGTGGACTTTCAAGGTCGTATCTGTATCTTGCTCCTAAAATTGCTGGTACCAGGCATTGTTTCTTTTCCCACTGCTATAGCACATGCATATGACCTGACTACTGCGGATGCCATATGTCTACCCTCATTGAAAGAGGAGATATAAGCAGAAGACAGGAATTTTGTGGCCACCTATGTCACAGTTGCTGTTTCTTCCATGCATCTGAGTTGGTTTTGATATTTATGCAGTGCTGACCAGACTTGAATCCTTGTAGTATGATTCAAAAAACAGCAGACATGGACTGACCCATGGTTGTCTTTCAGTGTTAGCCCTTGTTGCCCATGGCTTTCCCTGCCCTGTGCCAGCCGCTCCTGGGGAGCCACGGCCATCAGCTGTGTTGTTGGGACCTCTCCAGCAAGAGGAATAAGGGAAACAGCCTGACCTTAGTGATTTAGTCGAGAGGTGGTGTCCCTGGCGACAGGAACACTGGATTAAAATGATCTCTGAGGTCCCTTCCAGCCTAGGCCATTCTATGATTAGTTATGAAATCGGCAGCTTCATCACACATTACTTCGATGATTACATTTGATTGCTGTTTACTTTTTTACCTGGGAGCTGGCTGCGGAAAGACCAGATGGTTATAGGAAGGATGGGATTTAGAGAAGGCTGTGCAAGCTGTTACGATACAAGGCATGCTCAACTTCCCATCAGCAGGAGAGACATCTTGACCTTTGGTATTTTGCCAGAAATTGCTTTTTTTTCTTCTTTTTTTTTTCTTTCTTCTTTTTTAATAACTGAAAATGGAGCCACTTATTTAAAGAGATGCAGTTATTTTTGGAGCATCATGCAAAATTTGGGAATGACCTCACACCAGCCGTTTCCTCTCCTGTAGGCCCAGGTACCAGGCCAATATTGGTTAGAGCGTGGGCAGCTCTTCAGGTTGAAGAGCAGTCGATCAAACAAGCTCGTGGGTTAATAGATGTATGAGAAGTGAAAGCCTGACAAGCGAAGAGGTGGTCATACAGGCACGGGAAGACACGTCCCACCTCCCAGTGCTGCACTGTCGTTGGCTCAGGCCCGACATGCAGAAAAAACAGCTGAAGGGCCAGGCAATTTGGAGAGTGTGGTGTTTAGTGTTTCTGCCATCTTTTCTTTTGTTAAAACTTTCACGTTCCCCTTTGCGGGTGTTTTTCTGCAGTAGCTGGAACTGGAAACTGGGAGGTTAGAGTTGCTCGTTCATAGAGCTGGGGCTTGGAGTAGGCATCTGAAACTTAAAAATTCATACAAAAAGAACTGGAATTGACATCACTTGGCATAACATATTCTGTCTGTCTTTGCGACTGACTTGAGCTGCACCAATGCTATCAGCTTCAAAATCTTGCATAGGTCCATTGGGTAAAAATATGTTCTATAATGGAGTCACTGGCAAAACTTATAGTAGTATTAAATCCAGAAGGACCATTGCTCCGATTTTCTAGGGGACTTCCTGACTCAGAGTTTTCCCCATGTGCTTCTGTACCAGCCCCATTGCTAGGGCTTGCTTCAGGCATCCACCCCTTGCCTCCCTTCCTCCAACCCTCTCAGATGTCACCACTGCCAATAACAGTAAAACTGAAGAAAAAGTGTGATTCTGTGGATTAAGAAGAAGGTTTACAAGATATCTTGATTCTGAGTATGTAATTGGGGCCACAGATAGCGGTGGAGAGCCTTTATTCTGCGTACAGTAAGACTGTGATGAGTCTGAAGAGCAGCTGAGCTGGCACTCATGAAGCACACCGATTGATTGCTTTTTATAGAGACAATATTAAAACCCAAAATTGGATTTATTAGCATCGCAAGAAGTGTACAGTCTAACAGAAGTCAAGTTTAATATTTTTTTGGAAGTGGTATGTTTTGCATCAGCAGCAAGTAGATAAAAGCTTTCTGCAACTTGTTTCATTTATCGCAAGAGAGCATTTGATGCTACTGCTTCCTCCATATTAGGTAAAAGCTTTTATAAAACATTCATAAACTTCCATAGTTATTACTGAATTGTAATGAATGTCTAAACAAACTCACAAATGTTTTGTAGTCTTTTATACACTGTGCATGTGTCTTTTTTACTCTAGCCTAACCCTTTAACTGCACAGAATCATTCCTTCTTTTCGTGTTTGGGATCGCTTGGTCCCAAGAAGACCAAATGATTGAAAAAAACAAAGCATGCAAAAAAAGAGTGCTAGCAATGTGCCCATAGGGCAAAAAAGGCCACTGGCCTCCCGGGCTACATCGGGAAGAGCATTGCCAGCAGGCTGAGGGAGGTGATGCTGCGCCTCTGCTCAGCAGGGGCAAGATATATCTGGGGGTTGAATTCAGTGCTGAGCTACCCAGTTACGAGAGAGACACAGTCTTACTGGAGCCAGTCCAACCAAGGGTCACCATGATGATTAGGGAATTGAAGCATCTCTAAGTGGGGAGAGGCTGAGAGAGCTGGGACTGTCCAGGCCACATGTTATCCGGGGAATTTTAATGTGTGTAAGTACCTGATGGGTAGGAATAAAGGAGATGGGGCCAGGCTCTTCTTAGAGGCATCCAGTGACAGGACAAGAAGCACAAACTGAAATGCAGGAAATAACATTTAAATGTAAGGACAATTTTTTTTTTTTTTTTTGCTTGTGATACTGGCCAGGCATTGGTACAGGTTGCCTGGGGAGATTGTGGAGTCTCCGTCCTTGGAGATACTAAAAAATCAGACTGGACACTTGCCATGGGCTCTCGTTGCCCTTGGGCTGGGCTAGGTGATTTCCAGAGCTCCCTGCCAACCTCAGCTATTTTGCATTTCAGTGATATCTTTGATGCAGCAAATGAGGAGCCTGTCCTGTGGTTATAAGAGCACTGATCCTGCACGTTGAGCAGCTTGGAGTGAGAGCAGACCGTCTGCCTGTTTCTGCTGCAGAAGCGAGCAGCTCTTGAATGATGACTTGTGCTCACTTAATGACATCAAATGGGTTTTTAACATGTAAATGAGAAGGAGAAAGCAGGGTAACTCGTTATTAGCTATGAGTTTGCCTGAAGCAGATTTCCCATGTTAAAGCACTTAAAAGCAAATACAGAATTTATGATGTGTCGGTAGATTTTAAACCTGAATAACGTCCAGTTGTTGTAATAGCTAATAATGCAAATATCTGAGTCAGCCTCAGAACAAGGCAGTAAATATATCCTGCCGATTCAGACACACTTCTTTTTCTCCCTCCCTTTCCCATTAATATTTTATCCCCCCGAAGAGATGTTTTCAACATATTATGTGCACCGGCATACTGTGCTCGTGGTATTCCTGGATGTCATTACAAAGAAGCCTGAAGACTGTACCGCTGCTCCACTGCCTGTGATGCTAGCTTGGAAATTGCTTGGAGCAACAGCAGCAAGTGTCAACAGGGAGCCGTATTAATTATTTGGAATGTGTCTCATAAGAGGAATCAACTGCTTTTATTGCAGCACGAATATTACTTGAAACGGGAAGGTTACTCTAACTGTTATCGTAATCAATGTGTCATTAACTTTCCATGTTTGGAAAAAGAGATTAACAACCCTGTAAATTGGTACAGTAAATAGATGAATTATAACATGTTTTTATTATAAATAGAAGTTTCTTGATATAGTTACCTCCAAATTACTGAAGAAGAATTGAGTCTTTAGCAATTGGGAAAACAGCATGGCAGTGTCAGGAACCAAAATGCTTCCACCCAGGTGAAAGCAATGCCAAGCTCTGCAAAAAGATACCTGTGTCTTCTGCAGGTGGAAAAAACAGATGCAGTTGTACTTCATATCACGCTTTCTTCAAAAATTGCTGTGACACAGAAATGCTTACTTCCCTCTTAGAGTGAGATTAACAGATTGAATGGGCTTGCATGGAATAGGTTGTCTTCTGTGGCATATGGCCTTTTACGAGAACATTGTGCAAAGTGCTCATGGTGTAGTGGTAAAGCAGATATAACTGAAATTAATCACAGTACCCACGGCTGCATGGACAAAGCAAAAGAAATGGGAGTGTTTTCAGCTTTTCACCAGGTATCTGCACAAAATGGAAGTTCACTGTGAAAAATGCACAGTAGAACAAAATACTTTAAAAATGCTGTATGTTCAAAAATAGCCCTGAAAGATCTCTGTAGGAAACAACAGAACTAAAACACTTATTTGTCCACAGGGCAGGCTCACCATGGGCAGGTTTCATACATTGCCCCACCGATCCACCTCGATTCGGATCTGGAGAGACCGCCGTCCAAGGGTGAGTCAATGACGCAGCCTCCGTGCATGTGCATTGCAAACCAGCCATAAACGTGGGTGCATATCATTCATAGAGCCTCCATGGTAACTACCCTCCACCCAAGGACACTCTTGGGAGCAATTTAATTCCTGTGAGACAGCTGTATGAGAGATGGCTTTGTCCCATGTGCTTCATTACCTAGCTTTGAACATACCATCCCATTGACAAGCTATTTTTTTTTTTCCCACTGGTTTACTTCTGCAGGGGCAGGTATACCTTAATTCTGCCCCGTGCTTTCCTCTTTTTCCTTCCTAATGACAGCGTACAGGCACCAGGGGGCTGATGGCAGGATGTAAAAAGGCAGATTTCAGCTGCTCCTCAAGTGAATAAAGGTACAGAAGTGGCTGTGTAATGGTTTGGGCCTGGATTCAATCTGCATTGCTGTTGCTTGAGGTTTTTTCTGGAGTTAATGAGGAGACATGTTCACTCTAGAAGATGACTCAAATCTTGGGTGAACTGGTTGCCCTTGGGAGCAACGCCAGTATGCCATATGTGTGGACTGAGTCCGGAATAGCCCTGCTAAGACAGGTGCTTCTCTTGGATGGTACAAATAAAGTGATATGAACGTGAGCCCTTGATTTCTCTGCTCCATTTGGAGGATTGTCTGCCAGCTGTGTTTTGGTGAACCCCCAGTGTTTGCCCCTGTGGCCTGGGAAAATGAGCTTGGCCCCAGATCAAGCATCCATGCCGGTGCAGACTTCTTACACCTCCCTTTGCTCCTTTTAGTTAAGCTCTCAATATTCAGGTAGGATATCAAAATGACCAATTTTTTCTTCTTGGATAATAGTAAAGCTAAAATTAAAAATGTATATTTCCCAATCACCTTCAGAAATCTATATGACGTCAAACACAGGGAATGTTGTGACGGACGAGAAGAGGAGGAAGAGGGCAGCCAAAGTATGTTAGCAGGGAAATGCACTAGAGCTTAGGGTTGGGGTTTTCCTTCTCTCCTGCTCTCCAAAGGATGCTACAGTGGCAGAAGGGGTATGGGATTGACCTGTGTAGTGATTGTCACCATTCTGCCCCAACACTGTAAGGCTGCGAGTATGTGTTTGTATGTGCATGTGTTCCCCTGAGCGCTCACGGCTGAAAAACGCAACATGTTAATGCAAGATTAATCAGGATAGGCATACTATTATTATGTAATATGAGGAAAGCTGTCTTCTAAATCTCACTTCATCATGCATCTCTAATATTCTGGGAGACAGAAGAACCTTTGTGTCAGTGAACTGCAGCTGCAACTGCAAACCCCGCTCCTCCAAATCGCCCAAGGGACTTTATGGGCTAAATGAAAGCATACTGTCAGTGCTCTTGGCGTGAAAGGCTTCCTTACTTTTGAGTGAAATTTTCCACCAGCATCCATGTGGCTGGATCTGTAACATGATTAAGCAAACATTTACTGTTTCTTTTCCTTTTGTGATTGTGAATGTGTATTTTCTTAGCTGATACACTAAAAAAACTAAGGAATTGGCTATTGCTGTGCACAGAAGCCGTCTAAGCACTATTATTCCTTGGTGGTTCCTCTTGCATCCTCTGTGTTGGATGGTGAAGCTTGGGTATGAAGATGCTGGATGCATAATCCTCTCTCCAAATCCAGTCTTGTCATGAGTCAGGCTGGTCACACACAATCTTCAGGCAGTCCAAAACTTGTGTTCAGTATTCAGTTACACTGAAATTTAACACATGCATTTGAGATTGTCACCTTCTTCTAAGCCCCTTGAAAACCTCCAGTTTTGTGGTAAAATTTACTACCTTGCTTTGATAGCAGAGCACTTTGGTAAGGGCAGAGACAGTTATGACTTCCAGGACCTTCTCACCCAAGTCTGTCTTTAATGTTGGATGTGTCAATTTGGAGCTAACATAGAGTAGGTCAATTTAAATCCTTGACTTGAGGTCTGGAGCAGCCTGTGAAAGACTCAAGAATGCTGGAACAGGAGCAGCCAAAGAAGCTGCACTGTGATTTCTCCAAGATAAAGGAGCTAAAGACTAAGAAATCTTCAGCGATCTACCATTCGTGAGGACATAGCTACCTCTGCAAGATGAATGTCCCTGCCAACAGAAGCAGAGCAAAGTGGGTCAGGTAGAACAGTTGCAGCATTTGCAGAGAAGGTAAAATGAAGTTTATCCAACATAAACTTCAACTTTAACTGCTTATACCAGGGTCTTCTCCTCCCTCAGTTGAGAGATCTTAAAGAAAGGGCTGCTCAGGGTGGAATGGCTGATATTACTGCTGCTATGCACTAGTAAGAGGACTCAAATCCCCTTACGTAGCTTAACAGGAGAGGGCCAGGGAGGTAGCCAGCTCTGATAGTACTGATCTGTTAGCTGGTGACTGTTAGGTGTTAAAAACGTAGTAACTGATATTGTCTCCAGCGGGAAGAGCAAGGTTTTCCACTGGCCCTGGGATCTGGGATGTGTAGGTCTACTTAAGTGTCTGCTGCCTTGTTTCAAGCCTCAGCATCCAAAATCCATTAGATTTGTTGTAAGAATCATTATTTTTATTTTTTTTTAAATATGCGAGAGTTATGAAGGTTTTTTTTTTTTATTTGGCTGCCTTTTTAGACACCTTTGGACATGCTCAGGACATGTTCCAAGCTTCATCCCGTAACCACCAGAGCTATTTTAAACAAAGGAGGCAAAACCACCTCTGTCCTGAAGATCTCCTTGTTCTTCACGTTTCCAGTAGCTGGAACTCTAAAAAAAGAGCAGCATTATGACAGTTGTCATAAACCACTAATGCTTTTGGCTGTTGCTTTGATGCTTTTCATTTCCTTTCTGCATTTCCCCTGGCACTGAGCTGAGCACCAGGTGCAGGTCAATGTTGCACTTAGAGTAGCAAAAATAAAAAGCCACCATACAGTTTTAATTGTAATAAATGGAAGTAGAGCCAGGGTAGAGATATAAAAGCATCTTTCCTTCCCATATTATTAAAAAACGATACAGCTTTAATGCTCCTGTGGGCCTATGCAGTTGCAATTCTCAGCTGGCAGATTTATTTGTAACTGCCTCTTCCTTCTCCTTTTTGAAAAAATTATCACTGGTGACATTTACACACGTTGTTTATGCATGCAGAGCATTTTTACCTGGCTTTCAGAGTCCTGATGCTAGTAGTGGATAGAGTATAAACTCCAGTAGTTTACTAGTACATTAGTGTCATCGTGCATTACAGGGTAATTACTCTGAGCCACTGCTCTGTACAGTAGCACAGTAATGACACTGTAAATCACTTAGTAGAAATGAAGCCCTGAATCAGCACTTTTTATCAAGACACTTCTCATTCCCCACCCCCTTTTTAATTTGAGAACATTGTAAAATTAGTTCTGTATACAAAGTAGCTATCCATTATTTTTACACCTTCTCTCAGTGTAACGATGCAAACACGATTACATGATGTTACACAACAGTTTACACCATCTGTATGCAGAGTAATTCCAGGGTTAGCTGAGATCTCAGGTTGTGATCTCATAGACTGAAGGTTAAACCTGTGTTTAAAAATGGATCACTGGTTGCTGACAATAGCAAGGAGTTTCACAGGTATGGATGAAGCTGATACGCTGGCTTAGAAAGGGATTTTATGGAATTATCATCTATAGCAATAAATTAAGTTTAGCTTTTGGACTCAAATTCTGCCAGGCACTAAAACACAGCAAATAAATGAATTAAACTCACTGAATCCACACGCTAAACCTATTTATAAAGCTTTAGAGAAGCAGATTTAAGCGTATATGTGGAATCATATTAAACATGAAATATGTGCCTGTCGTTTAAACCTAGGCAGTCTGAGGCAGGAGCTTTTCTCCCCTGTTGAGCTAGAGTTTTGCAAACGTTTCCTTTAAAGCTGATGCTCAGGGAGTAGTTGTCTTGGAGATTGATATACTTGAAGTCAGTACATTTCCAGAACATGAATTGATAAGCAAAACCATGTGTTGGTCCCCAGTTTTAGGAATAAATAGGAAATAAAGGAGGGATGGGAGGTTCTCTCTCACCCTTCTGTGCAGATTTCTCTAGCCAGGGAGCTTGTTTTGGTTCCGGTTAAGGCACTGTGTTTTGGTTTGTTTTTTCCTGCAAATCTCAGCTGTGAGGTTCAGCCTTCGTAAACTCAGAGTCTCCCCCTACCCCTTGGGCAGCATGTCAGGGAGACAGCAAGAGGTTTTGCTGCTTTCCCCCCCTTGCTTGTCCAATTCAGTGGCATGTCCCTTTGTACTTTCTTCCTCCCAAAGCTGGATCCATTCTGCTGTTTTTCTCCCCCTTTGCATCTACAACATCTAAGGGAGAACTGTTTCTGAATGTCAGAAGCACTGTGAAATCTTAATACCAGAAACAGAGCAGGGTTTTAGATGCATACATTCTGGGTCTTCTTTCCTCTTTTTTTTTAGTTTTTGGTTTGTTTTTTTTCCCCTCTCCCAGAGGTCCAAGAGAGAGTTGATGGCTTTGCAGATGATGTGGGAAGATCTGACAGCTGGGCTCATTGCCCTCCTTCCCAGGTCCCAGAGAAAGGGGAGCACCAGGCAGCGAGGCCCAGTGGCACTCCTTGCCTTAATTCAAGCTGACACTTGGGGTCACGCATCCTGTACTTGCCAGACCCTGAGACACCAGCTCTCCTGCCTCTCCCTCCCCTGGTCCAGCGCTGTCAGAAGGGTGCTGTTTGGGAGTCCCTGCTCTAAGCTGATGGTCACCAGGCATCTCCTGTTTCCAGACTTTTCCATTTTCTACTTCAGTTCCCTGGGAAACCCATTCCCTCAGCTTGAAAGTCATTTACATATCCCTCTGCTTCTCTCTGAGATCTTGCTTTTATGCATCCTGCTCCTTCCCCTTAGAGTTAGTTACAGATACATGTTTCCAGCTTCTTAAGGTAATATCATTTTCCTGCTGTCCTTCAGGCAGGAAAGTCCAGGGAAGAGGCTAATTCAGTGTCTCTGAGCCAAGGGAGGATCATGCACAGGATGCTGGTTGGGGTCCCT